CTGAGCAAAGGTTAGCAGGAGCCAACAAACACACACACCTCCTTTCCTAGCAGTACCATTCCTGCAGCTCTTCACCGTTTACCAAAAGAAGAGATGAAAACCAACATAGAGGAGACCGGGACAACCCAAACACTAGTTAATGAGCTAATGATAACCCACAGGAAACTAAAATTGAACTTCACAATGAAACCTACAGACCGAAAGCAGCCTAGCTGTAGGCTGAGGGTTAGATCTCACTAAAAGAGCAAAGAGCAAAGTTTGAGGTTCTCCTCCTACATCCAGTGAGATTACACAGATGTTCTTTATGGTGAGAGAACTCTGGAGACATGGAGAGGCACAAACACACACACACACTGTAGGTTAAGTTTCGCACAGAGCTTCTCATTTGTTCTCTTAGGGCTGATCTGGACCCTGACACCAACCTATTGTCCAACCACTGTGAACCTCAGCGCCACCAGGACAAAGAAAAACTAAACAATACCACTATTAACTGTGGAAACATCCTATTACAGCTCATGACAATCACCTGCGTTTGAACTCAGAGGCCCAACCTTTTCATTGGACACAATGGCAGGTTGCTGCAGGCATGCTGGACACACCACAGCAAACACACTGTTCACATTGTTCCAACTCTTTGAAATACTGCGACATAACTGACAGGTCAATGTTTAGTTAACATGTAACAGTAATAGAACAGTGTTTCAGACACCTGAATCCACAGTCAAACTAAAGTAAGTCAGTAAATTGCCAGATCACTTCCCAAACATTTAAACTGATAGGTACAGAAAGTGGTGTGTGTCAACCATAAAGCATGCTCTCTTATCTTGTTCTCTCAGAAACTATAACCTGCTGTACAGCAAGGGCTGATAAGAAACAACAGGATACACATGTGCAACACCAAATATGAAATACTGGGTCAACTATAAAGACATTAAAGGCCCAGTGTGTCGGGGTTAGGGGGATATAGCTATGTTCTACAGTAGCCCAGGATGGACAAACCAATCACTGTCTCGGAAAAGGGCCATTCAGCTCTCGGTAAAAACCTCCTGAGCATCTGGATTTTAAGTTATCAGCAAAGCGTCACAGCGTCGGACAAACACAGAATTTTTGTAACGTTAAACTGCTTTATTGATTGTTTTTACTGGGTAAATCACCGGGTTTGTTTTGGAGAGCAGGAGACCTTTGCAGATAATTTGGGTTCTCTTCAAAACCTCTTGAACGTCTGCCAGAAATAAAGTGAGCACACATTATGTTATCAGAGAGAAGAGGTGAACACACATTTGCACATTTGCTAGGCAAACAGGCCGTCTCCAACATGCCAAACAACGTGGGAGAGACACTGATTTGTAACGTGAAACTGCTTTTTCAGTTTTTTTTACTGGTTTAAGTCACCCGGTCCATTCGTTTTTAGAGTCAGAGACAACTGCGGATAATTCAGCTTGCAGTACACACCTCGTCAACAATGAGCATTGAGGAAATTCTAATAATACAATTCTAATAATAAACAGGTAAAATAAATGAGGACATAAATACAAATGAACCAGAGTCTAAAGCCATGCAGGCAGCTCTTTAAGGCTGATCCTAGTCAAAGCAGTGCTTTGAGCTCAATGCTAACGTCACCATGCTAACGTGCTTACAGTCTCCATTTATCTGCAGTCACAACAGCACTCAAACTACCAGCCATTAAAGCATGCTGTCTTATCTTCGTTCCTCAGAAACTGCGACTTACTATACAGCATGTACTGATATGAACAACAGGATACACACGTGCAAGACCAAACATGACTTATTAGGGTACAAACAAAGACATGAATGAATAACAATCTAGACTGACTTGATTCATCGTCATGGCCTCTTAGAAAGTCAAAAACCAAGGACCAATTATTAATAACTTACTCTTTATAATAAGCAGCAATAATTGCAGTCAATAATGTTAGTTAATCTTTAACAATCCTTTCTTCTACTAAGATAATCCACAAAGTCTGCAGTTTAATAATTTGTTTGGGACTGACCTCAGAAGGAGATAGAGGTCAAACTAAGAACACCTGTGAGGGTCATTTGTCAAACACATGTGAATGCTCTGTCCATCTTTTGTGTCTCTTTCAGCAACATTTTGAAGGTTAAACATACTAACTGGAGGGTTTATCGATTAATCTTCAATCTAATCTTATTTCCTCTCGTATTGTTCAGTCCATAAAATGTCAGATAACAGTGAAAAATCTTCAGCACTATTTCCGTGTCACAGTTCAAGGTGACAGCTTTGAGACACTTGTACCAAAAAGTATTTAGTATATTTCACAAGGCTGTCTCACAGTTTTCCAAAGATTCCTGCCACATTAATAGCTGCAAAATGACGCTCCTCTCCACAGACATTATAAAAAATACTTGGAGACACTATTCAAAATCATACAGGAAAGCATCAAAGGAACCTGTGGTGCAGGTTATATTTTCTTAAATCCTTCTGCTAAGGATGTCTGTGAGTATCACACACTTAAATTGAATGATTTTTAAGATGTTTTCAAGATAATTAAAACAGATTTCAGAGTAGTTTTAAGACAAATCATTATTTTTCCTATTCAAGCATTGTAGATAGTATAAAGGCAAGTGGAATATATGTGTTCCCATGCAGAAGAATCAGCAAATACTGAATATTAAAATACTCAGGAGGAAAAAAAACATGAGGATGTCTTTGATCTTTGAGTGCCTAGGCTTGTGCTTGGTAGGCATGGTTCATAAACTACCCATTAAACGTACAATAAGTAATTTTCTTCAGCTACAGGTCTCTAAATGAATGCAACAACAAAAGATGAATTAATGCCATTATTGTAGTCAGTTTCTGGAGCATTTGATCAGTGTTTGTTGTTCAGGAGGTTTTTACCAGAGGTCTCTTCTGCTCCAAAACGAACCCAGTGATTAAAACAGTAAAAACACTAACTAAACCAGTTTCAAGTTAAAATCACGTTTCATGTAAAATCTGTGTTTCCTATGCTGTTCTGGTCACCACGGAGGGGCTCTGCTAATGTGTGCTCACCATTTTTCTCTGATAACTTAAGATCCAGATGTTTGGGGGGCAGTGGCGGCTGCTGGTCTTTCAAGGAGGGGAAGCTCATTTTCAGCCTACATGTGTCCGTTTATTTATACGTAAATTCTACCCTCTGGTGCTGCTGCGTGAGGCTAGCGTGACTGCCTGTGAGTGCTTTGGGATGGTGGAGGGGCTCACAGCACCCGCTGCTCGTTGGGGACAATAACTGCAGAGCGACAAAAGTCAGAGTCTCCAAACACGAGTAGGGTCTCCAATAACACCAGAAAAAGATGCTAGATTTGTCACTAGTCATTTTTAACAAAGAAAAAGTCATTAAGAGGATTGGAAAAGTCTCCAGATCAACTCGGAACAACGGAATGAAACTTGAAAAATGCTCCGGTGGCAGTTTATATTTCAAGATCGCTGATTCGCTCATTTCCCTGTCAATCAAAAAGGGATTCAGCCTCAGACTGATCATCCAATCATCATGCAGAAGCCCAGCGTCCAGGCCAGCCGAGGCCAGCCCACTGCCCCATAGACCCCCAGAGACTCTGAGGGTCTGATGGACGGGACAAAACCGAGCATTTATCCAATGACTGTCTAGTTTCGCTATAGTGGAACAACCCACTCTGAGCTTCCCTTGCAGTCTTCGAGCAATCGCCACTGTTGGGGAGGGGGTTTGGTGGGAGCTGAATTATCTGCAGAGGTCTCCACCTCGCCAAAACAAATGGACCCAGTGATTAAAACCAGTAAAAACACAGAATAAAGCAGTTTCATGTTAAAAATCAGTAGTGTTTGGCCTGGCAGGGGCTGGAGATGAGCTGCCGCTAGTGTTTGCTCAGCTTGTTTCTGTGATAACTTAAGACCCAGATGCCTAAAATCCTTTCCAGTAAGAATATATAGTTTAAAAAAATCAAGATCTAAAAAGTGCAGCCTGAAAATTTGGCTTGAAACTACATAAAAGTCAGTATATGACAGCTTCAGGCAGACAACCACAACCCTGATGCATAAGCAAAAGGGGATATGATGCCACTGACAGGCGACAGGGATCAAATGACATGAACCATGTCCTTGACAGATAATCACAGATTTCTCTGGGTTTGAACATTGCTGGAAATGTTTGGGATAACTCAACAAAATATATATAACATTCGGCTAGTTGTTTTTAGACATTTTAATGCCGTAATGTCACATATTATATCTTTAAGCTATAGTAAAGGAGGATATACACCTGCAAAAATGATTTTCACCATCAAAATGTTCTTATTAATGGTTATAAAGTATTACTTGTATTATTATTTTATAATTGTTCGAAAGTGTTGCTGTATAAATGACTAAAAAGCTGCAGAAAAAAAGTCAGAAAGAATTCCACAATTACACCATAATAATGATGTCCTTAGACAGTGTAAGTTCTGTCAATTTAGAGATTGTGGCCAAGTTTTTTTAAGGTGGGATGAGAGCATTTTGCAAGTTTACAAGCACTTGCTCTTTAATACAAAGCACCTCCTAATGTGACACTTGCTCTCCTCACCCTCTTTATTGTGGCAGATGATGATATAAGAGGGGATGCTTCACGTCAGCAGCCATGATGCCCAGAGGGTCCAGCTAAGCCACGTGGTGACCCTGTACCTACAGTATATGTACCATGTAAGACGGAGTATGGGTGGTAAACAAAAGAGGTGGGAGGCCATCGATGGAGGGAGATTACTTGAGATATTACGCGGGAATTGATGGGTGGGTCATGTGAACAAAGAAAAGAAAAGAAAGGGGTAACAAGAGCAATGCAGAAGACACTCAATGAAAGGTGCGTGATGTGTTCAACAATATAATGAATGGGCAAAGAATAGGTGGGAAAAACCAAAGAGATCAAGTGTTTCAGGACAAAAGGGATCCAGGGATAAAAATGACAGGTAAGCAGGAAGAAAAGGAACAGAGAGGAAAGTGTTAGTAAAGATGTAAGCAGGTTCATATTTCTCACCAACTTTCTGGAAACCAACGGTGCACGGGGCATCATCAAAGTCTACACAGCTGATGTCCAGGGGGTCCAGCTTCGCTATGTGATGCCCTCGTACCTACACACAGGGTGACACAGCTCTGTTAGTATGTGTGGAGGGTTTAACAGGTCTGTCTTTAACAACCCATTTCTGCAGATTAGCATCTGTCTGTGGTTTGCAAACTGCTGAAATCTTCATAGAAGATTTCCTAACATATGTCTGCACATGTTAGCAGACATATAATAGACATATAGACATATAATAGCGAGGCAAAAAGCACTCTCTGTGTGACATGATAAGTTCAGGTGTGTGTAGTTTACCTGATATGCTCGTATGAGTGATTGTACAGCTAGATGATCCGCCACCAGTTTTGCCACATTGGGCTGAGCCCCCACCAGTGCCCGGGCACTAGCCAGTCCCTGAGAAGTCCCACTGAGGGGTGGAGGGCTCTGGTAGGCCGCACCAGGCGGAGCCCCAGCGTTAGCGTTACGGAAAAATATATCCCAGGACTGCAGGGAGAAACAGGAGAGAGAAAGACAGGAGACAAATTACTCAACATGTTTGAACAAATATTATAATATTATACACTACTATGTTATTGTTATATAATTCAATATGTTGTCACAACTCTTGCTTAAGGCTTGCACAAACACAACAACACTAACAAGCCATGCTAGCAGCTTTTCATGACTGTAATAAGGCATAAAAATATGTAGTATTTAGTAATAAATATTATTTATTTACTTTTTTACCTGATAATTGTCCAAGATTAAAGCAGGAGATCACTGAAATGATCTAAATTTTATCTAATACCTTTTTGGCAAGTTTCCCTGCAATCGAACCAATAGTTGTCAAGACTATTTCACTCAAAATCCAAAATGTCAACCTCACGGTGCAGCAAAAATACCCTTGGGTTCATCCAACTGCAGGCCTACTCAACTGGTGGCACGACCTGTAGATTTGTTCTAATTACAAATAAATAAAATTTTAAAATATCAGACATTTTGCCACAACAAATCCTTCAAACCAGCAGAGTGCTCCAGTGCACTTGTTGCAATTGCCTCTAATCCCCAAAAGCTACTCAGGTTTTAAAGGTATGTTTTCTGTAAAATGATGGTCGGATTTTCACATTTCCGACAGTACTTGAAGGTATAATGTGTGATGAATACTTTTGTTTGGGAAAAATAACCACTTCTAACCATATAATAATGATATATTTTTTGTCAAAATCACTTCTTTCTACATGTCTTGTTTAAAATTTCACCAAAAACCATTTGCACTAACCAGATCCTGTACAAAACATTACATTTTGCACTCCTCAGCACAACTGGGAAGCTATGGATGACTTGGCTGGGTACAACAGTCACATGACAAAAATTCAGTGAAGCTTTGACTGAACTGCAGGCTGTTATACAGAAGAGAGAGAGGTTGTAAAAATGTAAATGGCCCCTGGGCCCTTTGCTTTCTGAAAATGTGCCCCCCTGAGCAATATAGCTCAATAGCCCTACAGGGACATGAATGTCTGCACTAAATTTCATGGCAATGGTTCTAGTAGTTGTCAAAACATTTTACTCTGGACCAAAAATGTCAATCTCACGGTGACACTAGAAGAAAAGTCAGGGAATCACATATGCTATTAGTACATATTGTCTGGGAACCTCAAATGCCTTTACTGTATTTGTGCCAGTAAATATCTAGTGGACGTCAAGGTATTTTACTTACAGATCATTAAAATTCATCCTCCGTGTGAACCGAATTCCATGGCAAACCATCTTAGAGTTGAGATATTTTAGTCTGGATCAGAGTCGTGGACCGTGTTTGACCTCTCACTTGAGTTTCTACCCAGTGGAGAGTAATTGGCTTACTGCAGTGAGAGGCTTTTAAGATCAGTGTTGTCACAGTGTAAAGGAAGCTCTTCATTACCTCTATAGTGGGATATCAGCTTACAGGTAAAGTGTGACATAATATTTTTACCGCACCACTGTAGCACTTAAGGATATTAACACAGTAACAAAGCTCATTACCAAGAGACAATGACTGCAGGGTGCCTGTTGAGTCCACACTGATATGATCAAACCCTTACATAAGACACAGGCTTTGTCTGAAATTGCATACTTACATACAATTCATAGTCAGTATGACATAAAATAGAGTATGTAGTGCGTTCCAGCTGCACAGTACAGTGTTTCCCACAGAACTAGACTCTATATGTGGCAGTAACTGACAGCGGGGGTGTGGGGGATGTGGTTGTTCGAGATGTACCGGATTGACAAACTTTGCCTTTTGTGTGAGTGCATATGTGTCCCTTTGTGAGCAGCACTGGCAGAACTCTGCAAGAGTTTTACTTTTTACCTCAGCAGCAGTTTGCTGAGTTTAAGATGCGGGATGGACAACTGAGCGACAAACTTTTTGATCATTACATTCAAGACTTCCTCTCAATCAGTTTGTGGTTGGATTGATCAGAGCGCATCAGATCAGATCGATGAATTTGAGGAGCAGCTGCTGGAGAGACAAGTGAAAGCAAACTTTCTTTTGTTGGTTAGACCTAGCACTAGACCACGGGGTTTTCATAGGAATGCAGTCGGTTTCATCTAAAGCAGTTTGGAGTGATGACAGATAACACTAACCTTGTAGTATGTGGATTTTGTGTATGTGAGAAATGTCCCAATGTATACTAGATTAGCAAGAATTTTTGAGTATGACAGGTGAGCTTACTGGACATACTCAAAACTCACTGCAGGTCTGTAAGGTACAGTTAAGAGGAAAGTACAGGAGCTAACATGTATAATGTACCATAAAAAACATATTTAATGTTGTGAAAAACTTTCATTCAACAGTAGCTCAGACAGGTATGCAGAGAAGATTATTGCTTGAGCATACGTCAGTGTGAAAGGCAGCTGGTAATGGCATACTTAATATAGTAGGCACAATAAATATTGTATTTAGTGTAAAGTACGTTAAAGGCATTGCATCAACAAGAACAACATTCCAGCTATTACACAAAATGCTTGTTTGACCATTTTTATAACAGCTTTCCAACGGGAAGGTCTTTGTCAAAGGGTTCGGGGTTAATCCACTTAATAATGTTTATCCGTTTATTGATTGTAAAGCTGAGGTTGTTCTACTTGGCCCCCCAAAAGCAAAGTTTAAAGTTCTAGATAAGCTTGGTAACTTTGCTTTTACTCAGCATTTCTAGTAATTAGGGAGGATTTGTTTGTAAATGCTGGTCCTGCGTATATATATGAGGTTGAATTCAACAGAGCTGTTCAGTGTTGTTTTGACTTGTCTACAGAACTTATACATGTGAGGTCATTTCAGATTTGGAGAAAGTGATTATGGGATGGAGTCAGTAATTCAAGTAATCTCCAGGCTGAGGGTGGAAACCTGAATTGGTCCCTTTACAGCACTTAGAGTAGTATCATTGTGGCACAATGTTTACAATGTGCTATGAAGTCTTATTATTGTAGTAGCAATGATAGCCTTGGGTTACAGCCATCATAAGCAGTACTATAATTACCAGAACAACTACTACTGGTTATACTGCTGTGCCTAAGGACAAGTAAACTCATTGCCACAGTGTCATAACAGTTTAATAATGGGCATTTTCAGTATTTAGAAATAAAGCAACTTGCTTGAAACCAATACAGTTACTGATTTTTGTACGTGCAACTCACGTTGCTCTGAAAATAGGTGGGATAGAATAGGACCATGGGTGTTAACATCTTGCTTTGATGATCTAATTTCATCTGTACTCATTCCTCCTGTTTATACTGGCCGCTATCAGGTTCCCAGTGGTACAGATGGGGGACAAAATCCATAGTACTCCATCTACATACATGCCAAAGTTCAGCCAAAGCTAATATGAGACTTTCAGCATTCTGAGTTAGACAAAAAATTACTGTACTGTTAGTACAAAATTCCCTCTTTGTTTCCATGGTTAACATGACTTGCTCAGTTATGGTGGAGGGTAGTGTTATACATGAACGTGCGTTTTGAACATGATAATGTTTTTGATGAACGGTGAACTGAACGTATCCATTTGCAACAAATGAATGTGAGCATCGTTCACTTTCAACACACAGTTAATTCCACTCAGGTTCTGTGTTTTATGGCCCTTGCATGCTGGTGTTGTGTGAAAGATTGCGTTCCCGTCGATATGTTTTCCCCTACCTATATCTGAACCACCATTTTCCCTATCTAACCACAGAGGGGGGTGCGATGCAGTTTTCCGACAGGGGAACAGACTTTGACACATCACCTGTATGGCTAGTGCAGTTCGCAGCTACCTGTGACATCATCACTAAAGCCAGTTTATATGAATATTTGAAGGAGTTTCAGAATCAGTTTGGATTCCAACGCAAAAAATCAAACATTTTTATGCAAGTTGTGTCAGCCACATCAACAACTAATTTGAAATTGCACATCGAGCTGAAGCAGCCGATCAGTCCTGGGAAATATCTCAAAGTGAATTACAATTACAAGATTTTGTTTTATTCGGTAAGATAGATATATATATATATAATAACAATAATAAAACAGAAGAAATTAACATAAATTTGTTAATTTCAATCTGTCCCAGGTAGCCAAAAAGCATCATCTGGCCAAACTCAGCACACCGGAATAAATAAGTCGACCCGTGTCAAGTTGCCTGACTCCGCTGAGACTCGGCATAAATGACATCTCAGAACTGGGCCAAATAAACTAGCCTGATTCAGGCTACCAACACTGCCATCACTGGGCCGTTGCCACAAATTACCTGGCCAAGCATTGGCACAAACTCTGCATGCCAGAAGGAATATCTTGGGCCGTGTCCAGTTGCCCGATTCCTCTGAGACTCTGGATAAATGAGTGGCCTGATAAACTGGCCAGATTCAGGCTGCCGACACTGCCGTCACTGGTGTGCGAACTAAACTTCGAGCTAGCTCTTGTGAAGCGTTAACGTGCACAACACTGGTGTAGGGATTCCTTTGCTCAACATATTTTAATGTGACATAACCGGCCCATCTGCATCTTTGATGAGAGGACATTCACAGTGATTGTTATTCTATCTACTGTGCTATCTGTCATTCACCTTTTGCTCCACTGCCTCCAGCTATGATGCTCAACTATCCAAATATGCCTGAGCAAACACAGGCAATACCGGTAGTGTCAGTTTGTACCTTAACCCTACTAAATTTTAGACAGGTGTCTGTTACCACTGATCTTTCTTTAGTTCCCTCAGGAAGAAGGTGGAAGACATTCAGAGTAAAGGTTTGGGACATCTGATTCATTGTGAATTGCGGGAATGCACTGAACCTGTTTTGCATGTGTGGATGAGCGTGCCCCTGGAGGCAAATTCAACTTTTCAAACATAATTAACACCTGTGGGACATCAAACACACACAAATATGCTCCATACCTTGTGCACATTCCTGGGATTTTCCAGCCACGCATAGTACATCTCCTCCACATAGTTAGAGCTGGTGCCATTGAGAAAGGGCTCAGCAGCCACGGATGTGTTCTGGCACCTCGCAGGCTTAAATGTCCTTAAACCCCCCTCGATCACCAACAGTCTGGGCTGCGATTGGCTCTGGGCTGTCTGCGCAGCTGTTAAAGGCCGAAGCCTTGCAAATGTAGTCCTTAAGCGGTGCATGGCTGCAGGTTAGCCACAGTTCCTCTTCCTCCTCCCTTACTGGAAGAAGAATACAGCAACGCTGTTCCAGAAAAGAAGACGCCCCAGGCTCTTCAGCAGCTGCCACTTATATTACTCCTGTTTGTGCTGAACCTGATGACACTTCTCCACAGCTCCTGCTCCTTCTCTTCTGCTGATCGTCCACCGGATCCTGTTAAGTGTAAATGTAATTGTCCATCAGAAACATGCTACTTAATAAGTGCAACTTGTGAGCAAATCATTAAGGATAAGGCTATATTTTTGTTACAAATCCCATGGTAAGATCAGAAATCCGTCCGTCAATATTCTGTCACTGTCTGTGGCACTGATTGAATTGATCCCGGACAACAATGGAGCTCTTTAAAGTCCTAAAACACGAAAATTAGTTAGTATTTTAGCACTCCTTGTTCCCTCGTCTCTAATGTGGGTTTATACTTCTGTGTCAAATCGACGCCATACCCTACGCCGCAGCCTGACGCGCACCTCCCCAGAAATGTAAGCTGAAACCATTTCCCTCGGTGGAGACAAAGCTTTTATTTACTTTAATTTTACAGATAAGAAAAAATAAATTGTGAAGACAATAAAGCCTCCACAAAAATAGCATTTTAAGTCTTGTGTGTGATTTATCCTGGCTTCATATGAGCAGAGAAAATCTTCGCTCATTGCTAGGCTAATTTATACAATGTAAAATGCCATAGGCTTGTGCTAATAACGTTAGCATGTTATATTTGTTTGGAAAACGTGATTAGTGTAAAAAATAGTTGTTTTGTCAGTGAACCTTGTGAGTTGTAATAGAGCCAAACTTTGTAACTGTTACCTTTGTTACATGTTGCTGTTGTTCATGGCTTCATATGAGTAGAGAGAGAGAGTGAAGTCCGCTAACCACTAGGCTAATTTATACAATGTAAAATGCCATAGGCTTGTGCTAATAACATTAGCATGTTGTATTTCTGGAGAAATGTGTCCAGCAAAAGACAAGTTTTTTGTCTGTGAATGTTGCGAGTTATAGTGAAGCTGATTTGTGTACTTGTGTTTGAAATTGTCTCAATTCAGCCATGTTTAATGTGTGTTTAATGTGTGTATAAAGTGTGTTTTTAATCAACTAAACTTAACAGCGCTTCGCAGAAACCTTTGCCGCCGACTAGTGTTTTGGAGGTGTAACTGCAGAGTGACACAGAGACACCACCACACAAATATAAATGCTCACAACGGCGTAGGCCACATGCGTAGGCTACAGCTTAGGGTCCGCCGCACAAGTATAAATCCCCCTTCAGTCGATGGGTTTTTTAACTAGGTTTTTGGTTAGATGCCTGAAATAAAGTCTTTGGTTAACAAAAACTTAAGAGATTTTCATATTTTGTTCTATGAAATAAAATGTTAAAGAACTTTGAAGCTTTAACATGCCCTAAAAAAGGCGGTCGTTAACAACTGGCCAAATGTGACCGTGTTGTGGTTTGTGTAACTTATATCCAAACATTAGCTTTTTGCTTCTTGCGACTGCATTTCTGCTTAAAAAATCTTAAACACTGTGTTAATTTGTGAGCATTATCTTGCTGAACAAAACAAGCATCTTAAACTTTTGTTTGCCACAAGGCTTATATTCTGCATTAATCCAAAATCCAATGGAAAATGCCATAGGCTATTTGAGTAAGGACACAGAGCAATGCTAACTTCCGCATTAGCTTACAAAAACGTCATCCCTGCAGCACTCCATGACACCACACATGTCCAAATAAAACTAAAGAATATCACCATCCTTATCCTTTTATTGATTAAAAAAGAAACTTTGCTGTAACTTTATCTTAGTTCAAGATCAGACAGTAAACTGCAGTACATTACAGTGGGTACTGTGCATCCTAAATATAGCTAGACCACCCACTCATAACCGTACGTTTTTTACATCACTTGTATATATTTCCTAAAGACTAACTTTAATCATAATTAAATACATGCCTAACCCCAACTTAACTTTAACTTAAGAGTTCTGAACTTAGACAAAGTTTTAACCGTGAAATTTAATGATTTGCGCTATGAGAATTTGCATTTTGTCCTCATTATGTGCCGTTCTTAACAGTTTTATGTCCCCACAACGGCAGTTATACCTGTTTACTCATACACACACCAACCGCTCCGAGCTCGAGCGCATACAAACTGCTGTTTAAAAAACTGTAGCGTCACGTGCGGGTGTCCCACACGGCACTTGCTCAGATAAAGTCACGTAACTCTTCATTTTTAACCGCTTAACTTAAAACTTTAACAAATGTTGAGTTTTTCGGATTTCGTTACCTTTTCCAGGTGCTCGCGTGGCTTCCTCCGCAGCCTGCCGGTGTAGTGAACGAGGAGCAAACTCAGCTGTGTCCCGTCCTGAGCAGGATGCTGTTTGTGTGTGTGTGTGTGTGTGTGTGTGTGTGTGTGACTGCAGCAGGAGAGCTCAGCTGGGTCTCGCGCTCGGGCACTGTCTAATCACTCCGGTGCTGATCTGCGTCACGCCGGCCTGTGACGACAGCGGTTGCGTCAGAAAATATGAAAACTTTATGGAAGCAAATAAGAAACATAAATATTAACAGAGTTTTAAAAGTCACTTTATATTTAATATTGTGGTTTAAACACAACTGAATTTATATAATTTAACCATTTATCTAAATTCATACGTTCTGATGTTTTCTCTTTGAAATTAAAATATGAAAATGATTTATATATTTATTTATTTATTTATTTACAACACACATTTTAAAATGTCAGATACATGGTTTTCAAAATAAAAATATTTTTATGGTATGAATTCAGTGTTTTTTTAAATTTCAATATTCAGTATTGACTTCAGATCCAAATATTTATGTCTCTTACTTACTTCCATAAAGTTTTTATTTTATTTTATTTTATTTATTTGTTTTTGGATTGTATATTTTTTAGATAAACATCCAATAGGGTTTCTTTATTATATTTATATATCATTTATATAAAATAGTAATGATAATTATTTAATTTAATTTTATTTTTAGATTGATTTTTTTTTAGATAAACATTAAATATGGTTTCTTTATTATAATTATATGTCATTTATATAAAATAGTAATGTAATTATTATTTTATTTTACTTTTAGACTGTATTTTTGGATAAACATCAGTTTCTTTAATTTTATATACAGTACAGGCCAAAAGTTTGGACACACCTTCTCATTCAATGCGTTTTCTTTATTTCCATGACTATTTACATTGTAGATTCTCACTGAAGGCATCAAAACTATGAATGAACACATGTGGAGTTATGTACTTAACAAAAAAAGGTGAAATAACTGAAAACATGTTTTATATTCTAGTTTCTTCAAAATAGCCACCCTTTGCTCTGATTACTGCTTTGCACACTCTTGGCATTCTCTCGATGATCTTCAAGAGGTAGTCACCTGAAATGGTTTCCACTTCACAGGTGTGCCTTATCAGTGTTAATTAGTGGAATTTCTTGCTTTATCAATGGGGTTGGGACCATCAGTTGTGTTGTGCAGAAGTCAGGTTAATACACAGCCGACAGCCCTATTGGACAACTGTTAAAATTCATATTATGGCAAGAACCAATCAGCTAACTAAAGAAAAACGAGTGGCCATCATTACTTTAAGAAATGAAGGTCAGTCAGTCCAGAAAATTGCAAAAACTTTAAATGTGTCCCCAAGTGGAGTCGCAAAAACCATCAAGCGCTATAACGAAACTGGCACACATGAGGACCGACCCAGGAAAGGAAGACCAAGAGTCACCTCTGCTTCTGAGGATAAGTTCATCCGAGTCACCAGCCTCAGAAATCGCAAGCTAACAGCAGCTCAGATCAGAGACCAGATGAATGCCACACAGAGTTCTAGCAGCAGACCAATCTCTAGAACAACTGTTAAGAGGAGACTGCGCGAATCAGGCCTTCATGGTCAAATAGCTGCTAGGAAACCACTGCTAAGGAGAGACAACAAGCAGAAGAGATTTGTTTGTGTCAAGAAACACAAGGAATGGACATTAGACCAGTGGAAATCTGTGCTTTGGTCTGATGAGTCCAAATTTGAGATCTTTGGTTCCAACCGCTGTGTCTTTGTGAGACGCAGAAAAGGTGAACGGATGGATTCCACATGCCTGGTTCCCACTGTGAAGCATGGAGGAGGAGGTGTGATGGTGTGGGGGTGTTTTGCTGGTGACACTGTTGGGGATTTATTCAAAATTGAAGGCACACTGAACCAGCATGGCTACCACAGCATCCTGCAGCGACATGCCATCCCATCCGGTTTGCGTTTAGTTGGACGATCATTTATTTTTCAACAGGACAATGACCCCAAACACACCTCCAGGCTGTGTAAGGGCTATTTGACCAAGAAGGAGAGTGATGGAGTGCTGCGGCAGATGACCTGGCCTCCACATTCACCGGACCTGAACCCAATCGAGATGGTTTGGGGTGAGCTGGACCGCAGAGTGAAGGCAAGGGGGCCAACAAGTGCTGAACACCTCTGAGAACTCCTTCAAGACTGTTGGAAAACCATTTCAGGTGACTACCTCTTGAAGCTCATCGAGAAAATGCCAAGAGTGTGCAAAGCAGTAATCAGAGCAAAGGGTGGCTATTTTGAAGAAACTAGAATATAAAACATGTTTTCAGTTATTTCACCTTTTTTTGTTAAGTACATAACTCCACATGTGTTCATTCATAGTTTTGATGCCTTCAGTGAGAATCTACAATGTAAATAGTCATGGAAATAAAGAAAACGCATTGAATGAGAAGGTGTGTCCAAACTTTTGGCCTGTACTGTATATAAAATTATAATTGTAATAATAACGTCATTTATATAGCACCTTCTATACACAAAATGCAGATCAGCAGACTAAAAAGGAGGAAGGTTTAAAACAGTGAATTATTTATCATGTTACTTATGATGTAATAAAAAATACTATTATTATTATAGAAACATCATTTATATAGCACCTACAGATTAAAATGTTCTATAAACAATAAAAGATAACAAAGCAGACAGAAGTGAAAACAATGAATTATATCTTTATAATTGGATCATACTTGCATACTACTCAGGTAAAAAGTAAAATTAAAGCGAAAGCGCTGTCATTTTCCTCTGTAAATTAAAATACATTAAAATACTTAAGAATTCACTTATTTTTATGTTAATTGTACATGTTGTAAATGTTTAGGGGGTCAGAAATGTTAAATTAGCTTAAACTAATGTACTTTCCCCACCACTTCATTTGAATTGTTTCTAAATTTAAACACAGTTCAAAGCAAATATTATTTTACCATCAGTCGAATGTTTGTGTAAAACATAATTTACCACCTGTTGTTCTTTCACAGGAGGCACATTTATACATTCTGGTTCAGTGCCAGATGTACTTTACTCATCTCACTGCCTAGAACAAAGCAATTAATGCCAACCTTTGTCCCAATGATTGTGTAAAGAGCGAGTTAGTGAACTTCCCATCCTTACAATGTGAACATCATTATCAGACCTGTTTATTCCCAGCGTATTTCAGTGAAATGTCATTTGCAAGGTAGAGTACTTGCTCTGGATGAAGGGAGGACTGAAGCATGTAGGGAGAGATGACGCATCTGCCAGTCTGTGTGGGTTCATCAGAGGAAACTTATAATAAAATTAGTTTTAGTTCAGATTTTTTTGTAATGGGGTTGTATGAGGTACTTATCCAGAGTCAGTGTATTACCTACAGTAGATGTCAATCAGTTTGGAGAAGCAGGCTGGAGTACTGCTTTTGAAGCTAAGCAATGTACTGCTGTGGATTGGGGCAGCTACAAAACATATTTTAGCCACCTAAAAAATCAATACCGCTTTAAATGTACACTGTATTTTGAGTATTTTCACTGCTTTACCTTAATGTCAGACAGTGGTTTACAACAGGAAAATTAAGCCGTTATATTGCTCTCTTCAAGCCAGACTCCATTGAAAAAAACAGTGATTTAACATCACTGAACCCAGGACTCTTTTTGGTCTACTGCTGCCTCGATTAGTTAGTTAGTTTGTGCTATTGTGTGACTTCGGCATGTAAAAGGGTTAGTTCAGATTCACCAAAGTCACACAATAACACAAACTAACTAACTGATCAAGGCAGCGGTACACCAGCAGCTCCTGTTTCCTGTAAGGTAAAATTACTGATTTTGTCAGTGGAGTCTGGTGGCTTGATAAGAGCATAGATAGGAAGCTATTAATGGCTTCCCTGTTGGAAAGGGCTGTCTGACAAAAAGGCAAAGCAGTAAAAATATTCTAAAAATAGCGTACACTTAAATTTAATTTGTACCTCTTCCACTGTGATTGACAGCTGGGTAAAAAGCGACAGTGATGAGCGCAGTGTTTTACCTAAAGCTGAACATTTTTCAACAAGTTCTGATACACAAATTCTAGTACTGTATAATTTTGACGTACTTGTACTTCACTAAAGTATTACCATGTTATAGACTTTCTACTTTTACTACTCTACATTAATCCGACAGCTTTAGTTGCTGTATTCAGATTAATAGGTCTACTATAAATAAATCATGATGTACCATTATAGAGCAAGATTAAACCGTTAATACCTCGGGGAAACCCACAAGCTGTCCAGCAGTAAAGTAAATTAAATGAGCTCCACCGTTACCAGCTGCAACATGTAAGTGATGAACACATTAAAGCCTTAACCCAGTAATATACATTATAATGACATAGGCCAATCTGCATAATGACTACTTTTGCTTTCATCCACCTAGGATGTAGTAGAGTATAAGTATTATGTAACATATAATGTAAATGCTTCAGAAAGTAAAGTATAAGTACATCAGAATTTTACTCAACAGTCCTTGTTTAACTCTACTGAGTTACTTTCGACCACTGGATCAGTGTCTTCACCACCTCTGTGATCAACACCCTCTGATTCCCTTTATTAATCCTTCATTGATCTATAGTTTCTCCTCCCTCCCTCCCTCCCTCAGGTTGACCTCTGCCCTCTGGCACCCACTGACAGCCACCCTGGAGCCCGGCTGCTTCACAGATAACAGAACATGCACACAAACAAATAATCAAAACGTTCTGTGGCCAAGAGTCAAGATAAGAGAGTGGAGTGATGCGCTCTCTGCATTGTCATTTTATTGGTTCACACACTGATTACATCTGATCACATTTTAATATTGATAAGACTCGGAATGCACACCATTGTCATTGTTATCTGTAGAATCAAATTTCCAGAAAGAGAAGCTTTGTTGCACACACAGCAGCGCTCTGTTACTGTCACCTGATCGTAAAGGAAAATAAATCTCCAGGCTCTTCTGAAGCAGTTAGAATAGCGTTAGAGTTGCAGCCCTCAACGTTACACTCCGGCCAAATGCTAATTAATGGAATAAGGATTGTTTGCCGAACGGGGAATGGCTCTGAGTGACCAGTAAAAAGCACTGACACTGTTAGGGTTTGG